CTTGATATAAATACATACCAGTTCCTGCCTACTATATATATATTCATATGACCTCTTCTGATGGCACTGACTCTACAGTCTTTGGGCCGAACACACCCAAACTGGGCCGATCGTGCCATAGTTCCTTCACACTCGCTCGTCGTGAGGATGCAGTTTTTCTGAGTTTCCTTTCCTGCTGTGGTCACATTGAAACCTCTGCAGGCTCACTCTTGGGTTTGTGGATTTGGCAGAAGTTGCATGAAAGTATCTGAAGGTCAAACGCATCAACCTCACGACATTTGCAGCAGGCCATTGGAGGGCATGAGGAGCTGGTTTCACTCATCAAAGACTCCATCACTGGTGGTGGTGTCGACCCCCACGTCCAGAAATCTGTGACTGTAAGGAGGGGACAACAGAGGACTGTTTAACCTGCGCTGTGGAGGGAGATGATGTACAATCTTCATCGAATGGCTCAATTTCTGAGCTTCGTGCTTATTTTTGGTTTCAAAAATGTATTTTTTAATAAGATATTCTGCCATTTGTGCATTATTTTAAACTGCCTAGAGCATTTTTGCAATATCTTTAATAATTCGGGTTTGATAAATCTTTAAAGTATCAGAGGATTATGCAATAACAAAACTATTTTGTGTTATATGTCCTCTTTGGTCCACTTTTACTCCTTGCAGGAATGAAAGATGCATCTAGTTTTCCATACAGCACAGACATCATTGAGTATGTATGTGTTTAGTGTAGCCATGATGTTCATTTTACTGTTCATCATCATGTCTCGTGCAATAGTGCATGTCTGCCTCGAGGTCTGAGTGCATAAGATACACAATAAGCCATTTCTTTTCATTAATGTTCATTAATGTTAATGTTGGTCTCCTTTTCTCAGGGAGCTGCAGGTACTCACATGACATTTGACTGCTGCTATAGTAGAATATTGTGATGATTTTAGACAAGTGCCTTGTAAGACCAAACACCATTCACAAACCATTGCTGTTGCACATTGAAATTAAAGTGTTTTCCACTTAAAAGCCAAATTTATATCTGTTTTAATGTTGCAAGCTGCTTGTGTATGTGTGTGTGGTATACAGGAGAGAGGTGCTGCTCGTTTTCCGGTCCATTGTGCCTGAAGTGTGGCGATAGGTTAGTTTTGGGCCTCTGCATCTTCTCTAACAATACGTCTCAGCCTGGGCCTATCTGCCTCTGTATCTGTGACAGATTCCCCACACAGTGACTCCACTGGGGCGTCAATCTGGTTTCTTTAGCCTCAGTTATCTCACACACAAACTGTCTTTCTCTCTTTACCCTCTCCTGTCCTTCTCCTACCACTTCTCACCCACCCTCTGGCTTCCAAGGCCTCCTCCCCCCCCCCACACACACACACACACACTCCCTTTGCCTCTCTATCTGTCTACCTACAGGACTGTAGCGAGGGTTCAGTTCAGTAACAGTGGAGAGAGCCTCTTTGTGTTTGTCAAGAGCAGTTTGACAGGAGATCTTATCCTCCCGCGCTGTTCTCTTCGCTGCAGGAAAGGTGGCTAAACTACTCTCAGTGGGCTGCCAGGGTCGGACAGTTCAAGCTCAACCTCAGAGATACAATGTCAAGCTCAGTAGGTCGCGTGGAAAGTCTTTCCAAGTGGAAAGCTTTTTCGAACATCGCTGTTTAGCTGGAGGTCTTCAACCCTGTGCACTGAGAAAAGTCATCCATTTAAAGAGCACCCTTTTTCTTAACTAATCCTTAATATGCAGGCCTGTGATTGAATGTTGTTTGTCAGTGGAAATAGGAATTTCAGAGTCTTGATCAAACGCAATGCAGAGGCTTGCCAGACCAAATCCTCCACATGGAGAGATTGTCTACACACTCCAATCCAGCCACACAAAAGATCATGAGTGATTTGTGAGTATTAAAGGTAGCAAAGGTCATCTGCCAGTGGACGTGTGGTAAGAAGCGCAGTCACAAAGCCTGGCCTTACTGCATTCAGCAGCACCGAAAGCCTCATTGATCACCCTGAGTACTAATGTGATTGGATGTCGCACTCCTAACACCACCAATATTCTTTTCTCACTAAATCAAGGGATTAGATTGGCATACACATCGGTCTTATCCCCGCCTGTTACCGTCCATATGTGTCAGGCAGCCGGCAGCAAACAAAGAAGCATAAAGGAGAGCAAGAATACAAGGAGAGACACACCTAAAGGACTTATAGGGCTCAAGCTGAGGCTGTATGTGGAGGTCCTCACAAAAGGGGAGAGAGATGAGGTTTGTGATGGGCAGGCCATCACATCCACCGGGGGACAAAAGAGCGGGGTGACAAGCAGCCGATGGACAGAAGGTCCATTTCCACTCACACAAAAGAACCGGGGGAGATGAAGCAGATTAGCAGCTCTTTATGCCTATTGTGGAAGCTCTAAATGATAAGATTTACCCCCTTTTTTCCATCCCAGCCTGCGTCCTGTGTGTGTGTGTGGAAGACATCACAATCACTTTGGCTCTGCCTTTCCCGCTTTTTTATTTTTTGTGCATCAGGATATGCTTTCTTCCTTCTTTCACATGCAGGTACATACACACAGTTTTTCTGAAGAGTCTTTTATTCATCCTCATAGGAAGGACAGACGCGACAGCTGGCCTTTGAGTCACTTCCCTTCTCTTTGCTTTCTGATGGGAAAAGGCTCTTAACTTAAACCCCCCTCGTCACTGCAAGACGATGTTCCCTTTGTGAGCCTTTGACTGGAAAATTACTCTCTTAAGCGGAAAAGGCACACTGTTGCTACTGTATAATGTCATTAATCAGTCATTCAGTCACTGTAGTGCAGCAGTGCCACACATTGTTATTGTGTTCCATCTCCGGGAGCAGTTTTTTTCATCACCACCTGCATGTATGGTCATGGAGATTTAGAAACTCTTGCTCACGCTTGAGGCTGTTTTGCACACAGGGTTCCTCTATTATTTCTTAGTATTTAGTACCATCTAGTGATCGTTTTGTAACATTGCACGCTATCGTTTTACCGTGTAAATTGTATAAAACAGAGCTGGTAAGCAGTGGTGGAAAGTAACTAGGTGCATTTATACAAGTATTGTGCTCAGGTAAGAAAGTGTTCATCATCAGGAATGAATGCATTATTCTGCTTAGCCAGTTGTCACTTGCAGAGAAAAAAAAACAGCAATTAAATTCTCATGTTTAGATACAGGTTGAACCAGAGTACTAATTTAAAATAATGAATACAGCTTCACAGGGATGCTCTTTATCAAGATCAGATGGACACCCGGCAGCCAATTAGACCTGAGTATTTAAATGAATAAGAAAAGACAAGATAAAGGTTTATAGATCCTGAAGGAAATTCTTTTGCCAGATATTGCTCAGAAAAAAACAAAATGACACAACATTATAATAATTGCAGTACCTAGTAGAAAAGTAATAAGTTATAGGTAAGATATATCAATTAAATAAAATAACAAAGCTCAAATAAGACTAGAATGAAACGTAAAAAGTCATGCTGGCAGTGATAATGAGATAATAAGTGATATCACACCTGATGATTGTTGCTGAAAATTGAAAATTTGCTGCTGAAAAATGGAATATTGCACAATAATTTGATAGTGTTGTTCATAAAATTTAAATTTTGCACATGCAATCAAAAATATTTCACATGCAAATGAAATGCTACACATTATATTGCACAAACTATTGAAAAATGTAATATTGCAAATCTTATTAATGTTATTTTCAGATTTAAGTGTCTGAGCTTTTAGCTGTCATATAATATTTAATAAGAAGAATTAAAAGGGTTGATCAAAATAATTTAATGTTAGTATTTTCTGTTGTTCCACACTAATTTCAGAGCAAATAAACTCCCACTACTTCCCATGTGGCCACCTTCAGTCATCTCCGTTTTCCTCCTCTGGGCGACGCTGCAGTTCAGACCCGACCAGTGTATCACAGATCTACTGTATGAGTCAGACTGTTGTGTAAAGCGGTCGATTGCCGAGTCATGGATCGCTGTTGTTTAACTTGCCCACACGCTACAAGGACAACCGCGTTAGCAGCATGAGCGCACACATTAGATAGCAGCTATGACAAACACACAGCTATGCATGACTTAAACTCCAAGTAGTCAGTCACTTCGCGGCCGTTTGTGTTAAAGCTGTGTTTTGGCGGCGACAAGCTAGCTAGCAGCTAATTGTAGCGCACTTAGGAGCCTCTGTTTGGAGCCTGTGTTCCTGACTAGTGGACTGTGTTCATCATTTGAAGTTGACAGCAACCTGCCCGGCAAAGAAGGTAAGCTAACAGCCGCCTATTTTATGTCGAGACAACCTCAAAATACGTGTTAATTACGTTGACTTAATCTTGCTTGTTGTTTATTTAGGTTTTCGGTGTATTGGAGTAGATTTTGTAGCATTTCGTGTGTGTTTTTCTGAACTTTTATGATATGGATGTTGCGATAGTAGTTTATTACCAGTATCAAAACAATGTTTAATGACCTACATTACAATCTAATGTTAATGTAGCCTAACAGCCTGTTCATTTTGTTTAACGTGAAAAAAAGAGACTCCTGCTTTGTTGGGTGGATATTCCCATTATATTTGACTTTTTACACATTGTATTCAAACGTGTACAGTCTTCTAGACATGTTGTGTTTGCTCTTGAATCTAATGATAACAATCTTTATATTGCACCTATAAAAAGCTAAGTTTCAATATGATTCACAGGGCAAAAAATACACGTATATAGGTCGTCATGTATCTCTAATCAGATTTCTTTCTACCAGTAGGAGCCATGGTGTTCATCAAGAGCTACTGTGAAGCAAATTCTTCCATCTCCCACACTTGGCTGGATGAAGGCATCTCTCCTTGCTTCTTCTTCACCCTGGTCCCCACCACCCTCCTCACCATCGCCTTCTTCCTCGGCACCATCCACCGGATATTCTACCAGAAGTATGGCACCACAATGGAGCCCAAGTTCATCCCACGCTCCCGGCTCTATGGTTTCCAGCAGGCGCTTTCCATTCTTCTCCTGTTGCAGTTTTTTGGTGGAATGGTGTGGAAAGCCGCCACTGCAAAAGAACTCCCAGGCTATGAGGTGCTGTATGGCTGCTTTTCTCTGCTGGGCTGGGTTTGGGCTATGGCCACGCTCAGGGTGGAGAGACGGAGGGTCCTGATAATGGACCGAACACGGGGACACAGTGCTGTCCTGCTGCTGTTTTGGGCCGTGGCTTTCTCAGCTGAGAACTTAGCCTTCATCTCCTGGTACAGTCCTCACTGGTGGTGGGGCTTCGAGAACAATGAGCAACAGGTGAGGAAAGATTGTACCTAAATAGCATAATTTTGAAAATAAAATCCCCCCCACCCCCCAAAAAAAGACATAAGTCTCTATTTTTAGACTGGGTTTGGCTAAAATTCTGTGCATTGCATCCGTCACTGAGTATGAGCATTACTTCACTGATGTCCTCTGTGCCAGCCTGTAGCTTGTGTTAAACAGTTTTTCTCCATTGCTTTCCATTCCAGATTAGATTTGTTGACTTTTATTCCTCAGTGTGGATGCAACAATTGGCTTTTAGTTTTAGCCCTGATTCCACAGGAGTCTGTTCATTGTGTGTTTAAACAGTCTCATGAACCAAAGGTCAGCTATATATCTAATAAGTGTGTGTTTTAAAACACACCCTTCAAAGCTGTACAACCTGACTCGATCCATGATGAATCCACCCTTGCCAAGATAGCGAGACAAGGTGACGTGCAAATTCAGCACAAGGCTAAAGCCTTTTCTGCTGAGTCATGGCCAGTCTGACTTTCAGATCCTAAGTGCTTCGCTGTCAGCCAGTCACATGTTAAGACAACATCTTGCCCCTCCCACACAGTCTTTTGCAGAGGTTCCACTTTGTGGTTATGCAGCTGTAAGCATGACTTGACAATTGTGTCTTTCAAGGAGTACTGTGTGGAATTTAATCAATCCCTAACTTAAAATGTATTAGTGCCCCACATAATTACTTAATTTCATCCCTCATTCTATAAAGCCAACATTTTATCAGTGTCATTTTAATAGTAAATCATATGGAAGTGTGAAGTTACTCAGCGGCTTTGTCATTATTTATTAAGGCACACAGTTGTTTACTCATTCACAGCTGTGGTGATCATTAACTGAACATCTTCCCACTGTTACATGCTGCAATGTGGTATCCATATTTATTTGTTTTTAAATGTCTATGACACCCTCAGGTGCAATTTGCTCTGTGGCTGATGCGCTACATCTGCACCGGGCTGCTCTTCTTCATTGGTCTCAAAGCACCAGGGTTGCCACGGAGACCTTACATGCTACTAATAAACGAGGATGAGCGGGATGTGGAGAACAGCGGACAGGTAGTGACGCATAAACAGCGGGTGGTTAAAATCATAAGCTGTGACATTTTCAAACTGGCGAATAGCCAACACTATTTCAAGCTGTTTTTTAAGCGTTTAATTCTCCATCTCAGAGCCTGTTGGGGAGAACTGAAGAGAATGAATCTACCTGGAAGGATTTCTGGAAGAAGGTCCGTCTGCTTGTTCCCTACATGTGGCCCCGGGGTAACATCTTTCTCCAGCTGCTGGTCATCTTCTGTTTGGGGATGCTGGGAGTCGAGAGGGTTATTAACGTCTTTGTACCCATTTACTACAAGAATATTGGTGAGTTATGTGTCTTCTTTACTTTGCCCTGTAGATTTAAGTTATTCAGAGCTCAAGTTAAATGGCCTGTTTCTACAGGGACATTGTTGCAACAAGCCTGGGCCACGATCTAAAAGTGCTCTTTGTTTATTAAATTTCAACCACAAAGCCTCAAGAGCCACATAAACAATTCTCAGGATGTGTCATGGGATGAAATTGAGACATCCGTCTCCTGACGGCATGAAGCTTCTGGAGGGTCAGAGAGTGGAATATAAAATACCCTAATGTCAGAAATGCCTACAGAAGTTTACTTTGTCTCCTTTATCATCTTGTTTATCTACCTTGTCTCCTTGCCAAATACTTGCCCTTGTGACTTTTTCCTCTTGTCTATTTCCCTCTCACAGTAAATGAGCTGACTGATGGCAGCAGCTGGCCCACTCTGGCCACTACAGTGTGTATTTATGTCCTGCTAAAGTTCATGCAGGGCGGAGGAGCAGGTAGGATTCACTCATTCATGTTCTGGTTGCACAATGTAGACAATGAACTCTGTCTTAACAATGAGAGACAGACTAGTGCTCCACAATGAATGCCACACACTTGTTTTAAACCTTAAATCGCAAGCCACATGACAGTAGAGGTAAAGCTAATCTATCACTTTCACCCTCATCCTCTCCTCTTCCCAGGCGCCTCAGGGTTTGTCAGTAATATGCGCTCATTCCTCTGGATCCGGGTGCAGCAGTACACCAATCGAGTGGTTCAGGTGCGTCTGTTTGCCCACTTGCACTCCCTCTCTCTTCGCTGGCACCTGGGTCGCAAAACCGGGGATGTGCTAAGAAGCATCGACCGTGGCACCACTTCCATTAACAGCTTACTCAGGTAAGATTGTCCTGGATGGCATGGAGGTTGGTCGGTTGTACATATCAGCAGTTAAAAAGATGTGCTCTGCAGATGTCATGCCACGGGAAGCTCCCAGCAAAGTTTGAATGATTAAAAAAAATGGCAGGCATATAAAATTACTTGTCAAAATTGTGAAAAAATAAACGGTGTCCTCTTCTCTGAAACGTCAGCTTTCACATTAGCCCAAAGGAACCGCCCTAACCATGAAAACAGAGTTGAGTTTGTTTAAACTAATCAAACAGGTTAGATGTGAAACCATAAATGCACACTAAAGCTATGGGACAATTCTGGCCCGCCCAAAAAATCCTGAAAACAAAAATGCAACAACAAAAATTCTACAATTTCATTTAGCAGACACTTTTATTCAAAGTGACGTACATCTGAGAGCAGATACAACACAAGCAAGGATCTAGTCAGGAGAAAGCAACCGAGATAAGTGCCACAGAACAAATTCAAGTGTTTTAGGACTGTGTGGGAGTCAATAGGATTTTTTTTTTTCGGTTGTTTTTTTTCGGTTATTTTCAGTCTGTCAAGTGCAAAGGTGTTCAGTGAAGAGCTCGGTCTTTAGTCTTTTCTTAAAGACTGACAGAGAGTCAGCAGATTGAACAGAGTTTGGTAACTCGTTCCACCACCGCAGAACCACAGAGGAGAAGAGTCTAGCTATCGACCTCGGGCCCTGTTGTGGTGGTTGTAACAGGTGTTTTTTGTTGGCCGAGCAGGAGGGAGTGTAGATCTGAATGAGAGAGTTCAGGTAGGAGGGAGTTGTTCTCGTTGTGGTTTTGTAAGCAAGTGTCAGGGTTTTGAATTTGATGCGAGCAGCAACTGGAAGGCAGCGATGCAATCTGAACAGGGGGGTGACGTGCTGTTTTTGGCTGGTTGAAAACCAGACGTGCTGCTGCATTCTGGATCATCTGCAGAGGTTAAAAATGTTGATGGACAGTTGAACAATCTATTTCCATAATTCAGTACGACATAGTTCAGAGTTTTTACTTGTTTTCAGCAATTATTTTGTCATGCGCATGTATTTAGCACAGAAATCACAGAATAACTTTTACACAGACTTTAACGAAGCTGTACTCAACTGCACAGTAGGACATCTTGGCAAATAGTGTCTCAACCAAAATGGCTTTTAGCAATTAATTCTGGATATACTGTGTGTAGTAGAACCTGTGTGGTTTTGGACCAATGCTTTTCCTAAATTTTAACCTTATTTGAATTTTAAGATTAAATTGACTCTACTCTCTGTGTTTTTCCCACAGCTACATAGTGTTCAGCATCTTTCCCACCATCGCGGATATTGTCATCTCTATCATCTACTTCATCACTTACTTCAATGCCTGGTTCGGCCTGATCGTCTTCGTCTGCATGGCCTTGTACCTCAGTAAGTAGCGCATGTTGAACCACAGGTATCTAAGGTTCCACAGAATTTAATTATCTTCAATTTGACTTTTATGAAACTTCTATGTGGTTGTTTTGGAATAAATGTTCAAATGTTCCTTGAAATTGCTCTGATTGCCTGTTAATCACTTCGTCCAGCTCTGACGATCATCATCACTGAATGGAGAACCAAGTACAGACGAGACATGAACCTGCAGGACAACGCCGCCAAGTCCAAGGCTGTGGACTCCTTGTTAAACTTTGAGACGGTACATCAAACTTTATGCATTTTGGTTCATTAAAAGATGTTGTCAATCGCCTTAAGATGCACTTTAAATAAGACATAAGACAAACTTTGTTGATTGTGTCTGTTGAATAGGTGAAATACTACAATGCAGAAAACTATGAGGTCAGCCGTTTTGAAGATGCCATCTTAAAATATCAGGTAAGTCAGAGGTATTTATTTATGATAACAGCCAGTGAAGGACAAGAATGTGTGCTTGTCACTGCCTCCGAGATTGCTATCAAGCTACACGTGATGCTGTGTGGAAGCAAATCAGAAGTGGAAGATGACCAAACCCTTCGGGAAATATGATTATATATTGCGGGTATAGTTTTGAAACAAAAAGTAGGGACAGTTGATTTCAACAAGAAAATCCATCACATGTCCAGCTCTCAGAGTTAACTGGTTGGGAGGGTTTTTCTATTTTAATGCTGTAGAAACATTGCAATGCTTAGAAAATAAAAAGTTTTCATGACCTGATAGCAGAGTGGTTCAGCAAAATATCATGTGAAGACAAAACAGGTAAATAACAATCCAAAAAGAAGGAAAGCAAATGCTAAATTTTCTATTGCTGTTAGGTGGGTGGAGCTGTGAGTAGTTCAGGAGTTGGAATAAAGACATTCTGGTCTGCATCAAGTTTAACATTAAGCCATGAACATTGGGTTTGAATAGGAGATTATTTTGATGGCATCACAACTGAACAGGGAGCACCAAAGAAGCTACATTCTGGTTTTGGTCATCATATAACTTCCTAGCAGTGCTGGACAGAAGTCTGTAGTTGTATGTAGAAGACAAAACAATGTATTGATTGTTAAGATGTTGAAACATGAATCTAATGGTTCTTGTCTCCTCCTGTTAAAGGCTTCAGAGTGGAAGACACAGGCATCCCTGGCCTTCCTCAACCAAACACAGAACCTCATCATCGGATTGGGCCTGCTGGCTGGCTCCCTGCTCTGCGCCTACTTTGTCACCGAGGGCAAGTTTCAGGTATGAACATTGAAGAGAAAAGAGTTCAAATTTATTTATCTTTTACCGATCAAAATGTGAAGCATAACTGTTTTGAATCATCCCATTCAAATCCTCTGATCGAAGGTTGGAGATTTTGTACTCTTCGGCACCTACATCATCCAGCTGTACACCCCCCTCAACTGGTTTGGAACCTACTACAGGTAAGAAGCAGCTGAAAAAGTGGTGTTACATCTATGAGATATTACTTTCAACAAAGCTTCTGTACTCCTGCTTGACTCTTGTTGTTTTACCACAGAATGATCCAGAATTCCTTCATTGACATGGAAAGCATGTTCAAACTTTTTGAAGAGGAGGAAGAGGTACATTTGAAGCTGACAGACGTTTGGAGCTGTGATGTTAGTGCTGTTTATGTGCTTTTCTTAAGATCTGCTCTTTATATGTTCCCTTACGCAGGTTAAAGATGAAGTAAATGCAGGAAATCTTCTCTATAAACTGGGGAAAGTGGAGTTCGAGAATGTTTACTTCAGCTACACAAATGGGTTTGTTTATGTTTGCTTTTATAGTTTGGGTCAAACTTGAGGGCAACAATAAATGGGAGCCAAGTACGGATCGTCTTACATTGCTTGTTTTTTTTATTGTTTTGCAGCAAGGAGATTCTCAACGATGTGTCCTTTACTGTTCTTCCAGGACAGACGGTCGCACTGGTAAGTCTGAGGAACCTATTTTAAAGGAGAATTCCGTTTTATTTCAATCTGGTGTAATGTGGCCTAATGTGTAATGCAAACTTCACCTTCGTTATAGAGATTCAGAGAAATGAGGAGTCATGCAAACAGGCTTTAGCAAAGAGTTAGCACAAGCTTCCTTCCTTCCTTCACTTGTGCAAGCTGGTTTTCTTAAGCTGTGTGAGGCTGAATTCCCTGTCTGGATGGAGGCAGGAAGGCAACTCACCAACCTATGAGACAACTTAGCTCAAAAAACTGGTGGTTTCTTCAAAGAGCTGCAGGGAGCTCATGCTGATTGCCCCTTGCTAAGCTCCGTTTCCACAAATCTCTTTAACGGAGGTAAAGAGTGCAAAGTTAGCGTGACATTTACAGCTATAATAACCACATTAATGGGAAATACGTCAGGTTGAAATATACCAGAATTCTCCTTTAATTCAAGATATTTTTTCTTCTTCTCTCTATTACATCCTGTGCTTTCTTGCTTAAGTGCTATTATCATTACTTTCTATTAATCTCCCCAAGGTGGGACCGTCGGGATCTGGGAAGAGCACCATCATTCGACTGCTCTTCCGTTTCTATAATGTTCAGGGCGGGTGCATTCGCATTGATGGCCAGGATATATCAAAAGTAAGTGTTTGACACCAGTGCAAGGGAACAATGCTACAAGCATAAATTAGCCCCGTGCTCTTGAGATTACCGAGAGCAATAGAAGCACAAGTCATAATGTTCTGTCTTTATTATTGCCATGCTGTATCACTGCGCTTGTTCACAGACTCTCTCCAGGCTTTTTATTACTTCGGCTTCATTGTGTTTCCTCAGGTGAAGCAGACGTCTTTGCGAGCTCATATCGGCGTCGTTCCCCAGGATACCGTGTTGTTCAACGACACCATCCGGGATAACATTCGCTACGGTCGCATCTCTGCAAGTGACCAGGAGGTGGAGGAGGCTGCTCTGGCTGCTGATATCCACGATAAAATCATGGCCTTCCCTGAAGGTAACGCAGACATAATCCCTCTGTTTTATTTATAATCAAACTTTTTCAACCCTGACATGAAGAGGTTAGGTGGTGTGGTTAGTTTAATTTATAACTAAATTGTTTACATGTTTATGGCTAAGAATAAGACTTTTTTTTTCTACAGCAGCTAACATTTTAGCCAAAGAATATGTGTCCACTCCAATGTGAAGTTTCAGACTCCACTCAGATGACTCTATTTATCGATCTTATTAGAGAGAAACCGTGGCAGCTTCTATACCTCAAAAACATTTACCTGTTTATATCTCTGGCAGGTTATGATACGCAAGTGGGTGAAAGAGGTTTGAAGCTGAGTGGAGGAGAGAAGCAGAGGGTTGCTATCGCCAGAACCATCCTCAAAGCACCGCAGATCATCCTGCTGGACGAGGTATCAGACCCAACACACACACACAGAAGTCAGTCATTGATCTACACTGAATCTTATCACTTAAGCCTCAGAAAATATTAACATAGGGTGACCAAACGTCCTGTCCTGGCCGTCCTGGTTGTTTTTTATAGCGTGAGGAAAATGTTCTGGTCCTGTCCTGGAGGAGGCAAACTTTGAGTAAACGTCAAATATCATTTGAGTATCTCATTGCCGGACCGAGTGTCCTGGTTTTTGGTAATCAATATATGGTCACCGCAATTATCAATAATTGCAGATTGATTTTTTCTGAATCAGTTCATGCTCAGATGTAAATTAACGGGTTTCAGAAACATGTTGGAGAAGTGTTATACAACTTTACAATGCAAAAGTCATTGCTGTTATTTGTAGTTTTAAAACATCATCTCTCTACAGGCCACATCTGCGCTGGACACACAAACTGAACGCAACATCCAGGCCTCCCTGGCTAAAGTCTGTGCCAATCGTACCACAGTCGTCGTAGCTCACAGGTAAACCATCCGTCTACTGCAGATGTTGACATTCAAAGTAAATGAAACATTTGAGAGAGTTTTTGTGGACAGTCATGTACACATTAACAATTAAAAATGGGAGTTGCACCCTTTATTTTTTTCGGGTGAGGCAGAGAACTTTTTGAAGTCACCGTTTTTGTACTTTTGTTTCAGTAAGCAGATTATTTCCACTGACTCATTGTTTTTTCATGTAAAGGTTGTCCACCATCATCGGAGCAGACCAGATTTTGGTCATCAGTGAAGGCAGGATTGCTGAGCGAGGACGGTAAGCATATTTTATTGGCCTATTGTTCCCAATGACCACTGCTAACCCACTTCTTGTTTACTGAACTCTTAAGTAATGACCGTATTTCCTTTTAAGACACGAGGAATTGCTGCTCAAGGGAGGCATGTATGCAGAAATGTGGATGAATCAGCAGCAGGCTCAGGACTCGGATTCCTCATCAGAGACAGAATCCAAAGATCGCAAATCTGAGAAACTACAGCCACCATCAACTTCTACGGGCCACCATGGGCACTGAATGTATTGATTGTTGTAAAATTTTACATTTCTACTCTCCTTTTTAATTGTAAAATGCTGGTAGATTATTTCAATGTGCTAGCAAGGTGACAATGTTATTTATTTGTAGTTTTTTTTTCAACTGAATGTGCAATGGCAGGTCATGATGAAAAGGGAAGGTGCCTTAATCAAACTGAAGAGAAGTTAACACTATGTCCAGGGCATACTTTATGTCCCATAGTTCGGATTATACACAAGGTTTTGGTGTCGGGACGTGAGCAAACTATCACCACTAGAGAAAAGACAGATGACGGTACAGTTTGACGTAAGCAAGCTGAGTTAAAAGGCCAAAGAATGAACAGGAGTGCATCTTATCTCATGCTTTCATCAGAGTGACTGAGTTTTTAAACTTTTATTGCTTCTAAGATTATTAGAAACGCTCCTACCACAAATTTAATATTGTTTATATGTATGTTTTTATATTTGATGTTGATTTTTGTTAGGTTTGTGTTGGCTGTGACACAAAAGGGAAATAGAAAACTCTAATCGCAGTCTCGGCACTGAATGCTGATGATTCTGTCCGTCCGAACAATATATACGAGTGACAATGGGTCATTATACAAGCTGTCAGGGATTTAGTTTTGTTTTTTTCAGCTTTTTGGTTGTTCAATCGTGGGCTATGCTGTTATTTAAAGTGTTACTTCATTTAAGAAATGCTCAAGCATCTGTACGCCCTCAATCACCAAAATGGGGTATGTTGACTGATCTGTGTGTCTTTTAAATTTGGAAGAACTTAAACGTATATGACAAGTAATAAATTTTGTTCTAGAAACACTTACCTATGTCTAAAGTTGTACAGTCCACAAACCTTTCACACGGCAGACATTTTGACTTGTCAGAACCAAGTTATTATCCATGTTTTTACTAAATTAACAAATCAGAACGTCTGAATAAACAAAAAGATATCCCATTAACTTTACTCCCCATTCAGTAATAACACCAATTTGTTTCACTCGATGTATTATTCAAGTATATATATAGTCAAATACACAATTTCTGAAAAAGAGTCATTTGCTGTCTTATATCTACCTCACAAAAGGTACCATGATTATACAGTAAATATTAAGTTTGGTCTTGTACCTATGAACAATAAAGGTTTTTTAATGTGTTTCAGTCTGTGAACTTAAACCATTTTCAATTGAGTTTAGATTTTTAGGACGTTACATTAGTGATAGTTGCAGGTTTTGCATTTTAATTGGACTGAGAATGTGGACTGAACTGCACGTTTGTGTTTGGAATCAAGAGTCTATTTACATCTATTGTCAGTGATCTGATACCTGTAGGTAAAACTGTGTGTGTGCTGTAATGCTCTGATGTCAGTGGGTGGACAGTAGACTCCCTATTCCAATTATTTTAAGGGGATAAATTAGTGATGATTCACAGAATTCAAGTATGAGTCAATAAAGGTGGTGTTTCATTATATATAAAGTCTCCCTAGCAAATATGTGACCTTTTTTTTAAACTGCTGATTCTGCATTGTACAGTGCCAGCAATTTTGCATCAATAAAACTGTTCGACTTGCATGGAAACATAAGTAAGTTAAAAATAAATGTATATTTTGGCCAAACGCCAGTACAGCAGTTGTGTAAGTGCAGCAGAGTTGCGCCCCCTGCAGGAGCAGCTGTGAGTGGCAGCTGGAGGCTTCCGTCGTCACTGGCTGTCCCCGGTCAGGGCGTGTAGCGAGCTGAGCTGTGATAAACAGGCGGGGGCCGGGCCGAGCAGTCGTTTTCTCTATATTCGGCGGACTGATGTTTAATCTATAGTAAATATGGATTTCGACGCGTTGTTCAACGAGAAGACGTTTCAGTTCTCGGACTTCCAGGAGTTCACGGTATGTTGTTAAGCTAAGAGCTAGGTCAACAAACTACGTTAGCTGAGGCTAGGCGCTTTAGCTAGCGTTAGCTTGTCACTTATACCTCAATGTACTTGCCTAGAAGCCAAGATAAGTAAGCTACCTTGCTCTGTGGCACTGGCTAGAATTTTATAATTTGTATTTTGGCAACTCTAAATGCTTAAGTAACGCTTGCTATGAGATTAACACTCCGCTAATGCTAGCTCTTGTTACTTTACGCTAACTCTCCGTTGACTAGTTACGGGCCTATCGTCAGCTGAGCTAGCTTAAATCAGAATAGTTTATGGTTGCTGTAAACGGTAGCTAGCCCCACATGGTTGTATTGGGTAGAAAGTGCCAAGCATGTTGCTTTAATACATCGTTATAATAAACACTGCTTTAAACCTTTAATTCGTTTACTTAACTTTGTTTACTAAAACTACAGTCAAGCTAACAAAACTTGCGACTATTGTTGTTCTTGCAGTTTCTTCCTGGACACCAAAAGTTGACTGAACGAGTGAGAAAGAGACTGTATTATGGCCTGGACAAAGATGTTTCTCTAGATGCCCTCTCCTGCCCTGTTACAGGTGAGCAAACATTACCTTTTAATTACATGAAACACTTCACTAACGTTAGCAGTGTTGTATATATGTGGTTAACCTTGGTTCAGAGTCTGCTACTGTTTCACACAGACATGAGTCATTGTTATTATGTAAGTGGAGATTTCAGATGATTGCGTTTGTCTTGAGCATTTATGGTACAAACTGAGCCATAGTCCAAGTACATGATAACTGTTGAGAAGTAACTTACAAATGTAAGAGAAATGCTGTTACATGAGATCCAGCTTTTGATTTTGTGCTTCCTGGTTTTCCAGATATTGCTGTTGAAATCTTCCAGAAGTCTGCCCCAAGCCCAATAAGAAAGCTCCAGAAGAAGTATGCTGCTCATGTTGCCAGGTTTGTACTGTGAAAAATACATGCACATCCAGATTATGCACACTTACAGGAATAAAAAGTGTCACAGTCAGTCATGCATGTGAAACAAATTTCCTGTTTTGCTTCAGGGAGGCTTGCATCTCTCCATGTGCCATGATGCTGGCTCTAGTTTACATAGAAAGGCTCCGACACAGAAACCCTGAATACCTGCAAAAGATCTCCTCCTCTGACCTCTTCCTGATCTCTATGGTATGTACTTGTAGTTTATGGGTCATTCTATATGTGTGGGCTTATTTTTAGCGTGCCCCACTTGTTTCAGAAAAGAGTTTACTTACTATGTTTACATTTAGATGAGGAATATATTGCATTTTTTAATTAATATGATAGTGGTTCACAGACAACAAACACACTGATTTGTCACTTTGATTTAGATGGTTGCCAGCAAGTACCTGTATGACGAAGGAGAGGAAGAAGAAGTGTTTAATGATGAATGGGGAGCAGCTGGCAAGCTGGATGTCCAAACTGTCAATAACTTGGAGATGAAATTCTTGAATGCCATTGTAAGTGACACTGTGTCTGGTCATGTATTTATGGTGTGACTGCATGTGTTTGGTTGAAGTTCATTCTCTCAACCCTTGTGTCATATATTATAGGAGTGGAGCCTCTTCACGGAGCCAAATGACTTCTTCGATATATTAAGTCAACTTGAAACCAGGTTTGTGATCAGCTGTTGATTGAGTGTTGTAAAACATAAAAAAAAAAAAAAAATGAATATTTTCTATTGTGATGTTTGTGGAAGTTTTATTTACGATTCTGGCCTCCATTTCCAGCATTGCAGAACGTCAGGGAATGAAACGCGGCTGGTTCACGTACACTGACCTCTGTGTGCTGCTGGAGCAGTCCGCATGGAGTCACGCCCTCACAGCCATCTACCAGCACTTTACTAAGGTGGGAGAGGGATTTGAGAAAAGGGCTGCAATTATTTTTGTTGTTGATTAATTGTCTCGGTTTGTCGATTATTTGTTTGCCTTTAGAATGTTGAAATATGTCAATCTGTGTCTCTAAAAGCACAAGATGACGTCCTCAAATATCTTGTTTTGTTCACAGCTCAAAGATATTCAGCTTACTGCCATAGAGGACCTAAGCAACACAAAATATTCAATTTGAAGACGTTAGAATAAGAGGATTTTGTCTTAAAAGATACTTGAACCCATTGTATCTATTGTCAAAATAGTTGCTTATTATTTGATTTTTTTTCACAAATCATTTGCACCTCTATTTGAGTTGAGAGGAGCTCAGTGCATGCTCAATTTGTAACATTCTTCTCAGGTAGCTTTTTATTTATGTTAATAAGTTAAAACCATATGAACAATGATTATGACATTTCTTCTTATTTTACGTCCAGGTATCCTGTATGCTTGGCCTGGTGTATCTGACCAGTGTGGCTGGCCTCATTGCCACCAGTGCTGTGATGCACCAGCTCAGTCTCTCCAGAAGCGGCCAGTCCCTGCTTCCACCTCCAGCTGAGATCAGCTTGGCCCACCTTCAGACTTCCAACTTAAACCCAGAAGCTCCTGCTGCAGCCCACCGCCTCCCCTGTTGTGTTCTGGCCAACAAGAGTCAGAATCGTCAGACTGGCGCACCTGGAATCAGCCAAGACCACAGACAACCATCGACCTCCACGCAGACATCAATACTGTGTCTGTGGGGTTCCTTCCTCGCCTCAATGGGTCACATACATCCTGAAACTAAATCTGAAATGGAAACCTCCCAACCCTGGTCCGCTGCCTCCTTCATTTGCCCCGGCTGTCTTGCAACCCTCCCTCCTCTTCAGTGTGGGCTCCGAAACACCTCAGCGCTCCTCGTTCAAGGTCCCCTTGAAAACCAACAGCATCGTGCTTCGTGGCTTTCCTCCAGCCTCCTTGGAACTGCTGAACCAAGTCTGAACTCTCACCTCGAGGTGTTTCCTCCTGTGCAGCTGCGACCCTGCCATCTGGAGTCTCTGCTACCTGTGGACAAAGTCCAAGCTCTGCTCATGCCTGGTTAGGGACAGCACAGCTTGTCCACCTGTAGTGATGGACTCTGGAAATGAAACCAGCATTGTGTCATGACTCATTAACTGCCCCACGTCATGCTTTTGTTTACTTTTCCAGATCTAGAGTACAGGTGCAAGGACGAGAGAAGTTTGGCACTTTGCTGAGAGTTTCATGACGCCACGCAGGGTGAATATTCACTTCTAGTTAAATACCGCAGGGTGAATTTGACATAAAATGCCATAGTGTTCCATTAATTCTCTGAAACTTATTAAGCATTCATGTAGTGCTTTTCATAGCAGAAACCAAACTTCTTTTTTTTTTCTGCCACCCTTGTTTTTCATATATGAAAGTTCACACCTGTCAGACGGAGATGTAGGGGCTTTTTGCGCTGAATGTTTTTTGAGTTATATCACAGCTGTAATATTAAAGCTCGGTAGGTTGAGGAATGTGTGCGGAGGGTTTTGAAGCATATCTGAAAGTTTCACAGCAAGTGTTTTTATTAATGATAGGGCTCTGTTGGAAGAAGGGACTGAACAAAGTTTTGACTTATCCGTAGTTGCTTATCATATAGTTTGCTTTACGCAGTTGCAGGTTTACATCAGACATCGGTCACACACATGCTGCAAAGCACTGGTTTTGTTCATCAGTTATTTTTTCTGCAAGTCTCCTGTTGTTAACTTTTACCTCAGAGGAAGCAGCAAAGACGGGAGACGAGAAAGCTGTGTTTTATTATCTCAGTGTAACTATCATTAGCTGCACAGAAATCCCAAACTCCACTTATTCTTTACAGCTAGTTTTGGTTCACTTGCTGTCTGTAGTTACAATATTCACCAACTTTTGTGGCACAAGGATGCCGCATAATCTTAAAGCCACTTTACCGTATGGCCAAATTGAAGAGATTCACCTCCAAGTTCTCCATGTCTCGATAAAGGATGGGCTTCTGGGGATTCATGCAGTTTCTACTTGGTTTTGTATATAACATGTTAAAGGCTAGCTGCAGTGTTACTTTGTTGATCTGGAATTTGCACATCTGGCTCCATTGTTTTTGTTTTTTTATTGGCTGTTTCTCTCCATCCTCACTGCATTGTCATGTCTTTTAAACACCTGGAGGGAAAAAAAAAAGTTTAAAGAATTGATTATTTTTATGCACACTCAGACTTTTACTTTGTAATTGAAACTTTGACAAATTTGAATTTGATACATTTTGGAGCACGAAGTCCTTTAATTTTGTACATGATGTAAAATGCAAATATTGTAAAATGTGTAGAAAAACCCAGAATTAATAATAAAAAAAACTGCATTTCTTTGAGAAATTGATTCATTACTGTCTGTGCAAACATACAATGAAGGTCAGTAGGATTACAGTTTAATGGATGTGCCACAATTTGACAGCCACATCACTAATCTACTCCACCAAAGTTAATTTCTGGCATTGTAGGTGAATCCATGCTTCACATATTGATCTTAAAAAGTCATAAAAGCCTCCTTTCTTGATGTTTCAAAGCACTAATCTTTTGCTAGAAGCCTCGTGAGTGCAAAAACTGCCAAATTTGTGTCATTAATAACACTACAAGAAGACTGCAGGTGCGTCTTAAAAGCTAATGCATTCCCTTAAAAAGTAATAATGGCAGAGTGATGATGGGTATTTTTACAGAGAGGAGAGCAGATGTCTGGTTTTGGTTGAATAGGCAGTGTCCCTCCCCCTACTTGAGCCTCTGCCAGCTTCAGTTACCCCTCCCCTGAGCTCACCCTGGGCCGACACATACCACTCGAGAGCTCCTAATATAGACCCGACCGCCTTGTAGAAAAGGGTAACAAACCAAACCAAGCGCTTGCTGCGCGGAAACCAACTTTTTCATGGACACACAACAGAGTTATGGAGCCTCGTTCGCAGGTGAAACACTTGGGAGTGGGTGTAATTACTGGACGGGGTGTTTGTGAAGTTTGCCGAGGAAATGAAGTGTAGCCTTGAGGATTTTTAAAAATGCTGGTAATGTCATGTGGAGAATGTTTGACTTGATGTGTTGCAGGTGTCATTACCGGAAAAGAAGCAGGAATTACAGAAACAAGGTACGGTTTCACTGACTGGCACATAACTGCTTTTGGGTTTATGTCTTTGTAAATGTGCATGTGTGAACATGGAGATTCTGTAGAGAGGAGCTAACCTGTTGGCGCTTATTTGTGTGTGACCAGCTGTTGTCATTCCTCCTAGAGGCCGACGCCACAGTCTACATGAACTTCATGAAAAGCCACCGTTGCTACGATGCCATTCCAACCAGCTGTAAACTGGTCATATTTGATACCACGCTACAAGTGAGGCTACAGATTCTCAATGGAAATAATAATGTTCATACAAGTTTTGATTTATAGTGGGGCTGTGAAAGACGTAAACGTGACAAAAGACAGGAAGACAATGTGTTAGAGATGTAATTAAAATTATTTTTTAATGATTATTGTTGGAAGTTTTCCTGCAGACTCCTCCGTTCTTATGATTCTTACATTACCTTCCTGTGCCTAAACAACTTTGTTTTCAGTTCACACAACCACAGAAGTGATGACCAAAAACTTTTTTATTTGAGCTTTTGCAAATGGCTAGATGAGCTTATATGTGCCTGTCTTGGAGTTTTCTTTTCTTTCGGTGTCACTCTTGTTCAGTGTCTGATGTGAGACATTGGTACCAGATTCATCTTGGGGTGATGCTTGGATTCTTCTTGGACTCTTCCATTCTTGCCATTGCGGGGGTCACTTCTGCCTTCTTCCCTTGACCTTTTACATTTACACACTTGCATATGACTTTTAGCATTTCCCAGGCACTTAGGAAGCAACTCCTACTTAGTGATGGGCCCTAAAAGCAAACTCATTAAGCTTTTTTTGTTTTGGCTGTGACTTGAAAGCTGCTTTCTACTGAAGCTCTTGGGATTAACATGATGTAAGATGACTGAGAATCTACACGGGCTCTTAGCAGAAATGACCAAGAAGAAGCTGCATTTTGTGTTGATTTCAAGAGGTATGAATAATTCTGGATAGACATACATACATACATAGAACTCATTTAAATATATTATTAACATCTCTAACATTATGCTTGTCTTTTGTCAGAAGAAACTAATTAGTCAAATGTATTATAAATCTAAATTTGGCATGGCTGTGGGTAATTTTTGGGCTTCACTCTTTATATAGCATCTCATAGCTGAAGTGCATTTAGCTGTAAGAGTGCACTAACTGTGTGACTTTATCTGCCTCCAAAGGTGAAGAAGGCCTTTTTTGCACTGGTGGCAAATGGCTTGAGGGCTGCACCGCTATGGGACAGCAAGCTGCAGAGATTTGTGGGTAAGACTGTATCAAAGGCATCGACACAGTGACTCACTGTAAATTCTAATAATGGGAATACAAACCTGTTTTCTCCCACAGGTATGCTGACTATTACTGATTTCATCAACATCCTCCATTGCTATTATAAGTCCCCTATGGTGAGCATGAATGTACTGCAGTTTGAGTTTCCTCTCATGAGCTGGCATTGCGACCGGGTGTGCAGGTTTTTGGGGTTTTTTTGTTGTTGTTGCAGGGCTCCATAATTTTCATCAATCACATGTTGACACTGTGTTTCCGTCTGAAAGGTTCAGATGTACGAGCTGGAGAGTCACAAGATCGAAACATGGAGAGGTGATTCAGTTACAAGTAAATAACCAGCACGGATCAGTTGCATTTTCTCCAGGGTTTGTGTAATCAGATTACAAAAATACATGAGGTTATAGTTACATTGTGAGGGATTAGCATTTGTCTTTATTTAACTCACTTTGACAATTATTGTAAATGAAGCCATAACTAATATATTTTTTTCATGAATGTTTGTGGACAATGGAGTTTTTGTTCCTTTTTTTTTTACCTTGAATGTAAAAGATGAACATTTTGTGCTACAACTGCAAAGTGGAATTTGACTAAAAAACAGCAGCAACAGGAACTTAAAGAAAAGAAGCAGATGCATGTTGTCGAACACAAAGCGCCTGTAGTTTGTGCAAGAGCTGTTTTTAAGGGTAATTTGATTTGACTATTTGCAAAATGAGTTTTATCTGCACTGAAAATGTTGAAAGAGAGACAGAATATTTGTGTGACTCACAGCTTTGTGTCGACGTTCTTATTTTCTAGCATAAGGTGCAGTATTTTCAGTGTTTTATTTTGAAGGAATCCAAGTATTTCTGTTAGATTATTGTTGTAATCCAGTGGATTTACTTTCCTAATTACAAAAAAATGTCATAATTACTGATGACATTTCAAAGTAATCTCACCCAACCCTTATTACCTCTGTACACACATCTCTGTGGATTCCCATTTCAACTCTCTCTCTTCTCCTGTCTAGACGTCTACTTACAGTATTCCAATCACTTCCTCGTTAGCATTTCTCCAGAGGCCAGGTGAGTCCACACAGCACGCTCTCAGATGTAATCTGTGCTTCTGCTTGAACTCGATTTTAAGCCCAGTTAAGCTCAGCGGTGCATTCCTCTGTTATCTCTCCTCCTCCCAGCCTCTTTGATGCCATCTATTCCTTACTGCGATATAAAATCCACAGGCTGCCCGTCATCGACCCACAGTCTGGAAACGTCCTGCACATTCTGACACACAAAAGAATCCTCAAGTTCCTCCATATATTTGTGAGCTTGATTTAACTTGATCAACTCCAAAACAAGTAAAAGTCCTGCATTTAAAACTGTACTTTAATAAACATATTTAAGCATGATCAGCAAATTTTATAAAAGTGCTTATTCTGCAGAAAAATAGTCCCTAATATAAATACATGATGTTTTTGGATTAATACTACTGCCACATTTGTATTTATATTGCATGTTACTGTTGTGGATGTTTAAGGTGGAGCTAATTTTATTTACTAAAATTAAATTTGGTGTCATTTTACTGCAAAGAAATGGTATGAAAAATCTGAAAAGTAACTAAAACTTTCACACAAGTCCAATATTTGGCTCTGAGATATCGTGGAGAGAAAGGATGAAGGATGAAGACAAAATTTAACTTCAAGTACCATAAATTTGTGCTTTTCCTATTGAGTGCTTCCACCTCTGGTTACAACCTGAAGGACTGTGTGCATCAGTGTTCTTCATCTAAGGTATTTATATGTTTTCAGGGGAAAAAAGTTCCCAAGCCGGCATTCCTACAGAAGCAGATCCAGGAGCTCAGGATAGGAACCTTCAGGAACATCGCCACTGTGCAGCAAACAGCATCACTTTACGACGCCCTCTCCATATTTGTGGAGAGGCGAGTGTCTGCGCTGCCGGTGGTGGACGAACAAGGTACACCTCTCAGGAATCGATAAACATGAAACTTTATTTTAATTAGCACTGATGTCTATTATATGTTTGTTTCTCCAGGCAAAGTGGTGGCACTCTACTCAAGATTTGATGTCATTGTGAGTCCATTGTCCTACATTTTTGTTCTGGTTATTATCCCTGCACATTTGCTGACATTTTCTCAGAAACCAGCCCGTCTTGTGTTTGCTCCAGAATCTAGCAGCCCAGAAGACCTACAACAATCTGGACATGACAATGCAGGAAGCCGTTCGCAGGCGCACGTGTTACGTCGTGGGAGTGATCAAGTGCTATCCGGATGAAACCTTGGAGACCATTATAGCTCGCATAGTCAATGCTGAGGTAGACTTTTTCGGCCTCTTCAAGACTTCTGATTGAAATCACGAGATTGAGCATCAACATAACATCACTGTCTTTTCTCAGGTCCATCGGCTGGTTCTGGTGGACAGAGCTGACGTGGTGAAGGGCATCATTTCTTTGTCTGACCTGCTGCAGGCCATGGTTTTAACCCCTGCAGGTATTGACACCCTTTTATCCTAGCAGCAGGGGGCAGAACATCCCCTCCTTATCGTCCTGTGTCGTCCTGGCAGTGTACCCAGCCAGGTAGGGCTCTGGAGCCTCATTCCCACTCTAGCCAACCCCAATAACCCCCATCCACCCTGTTCCTAGAGGCTTTGACCCCACATGTTAGCACCAACTCCTGCTTTCAACCTTGCATTCAAAAACATGCATGTGCTCCCACGTGCACAGCTGCTTTACAAGGCTTTTGTTTCACTTTCTAAACACTCCCGCGACAGAAGAGAATGATCGCAGAATTCATTTGTGTCTTTCAGAAATCGACATGTGACTAAAACGAGAGAACATAAGGAAGAGATATTCCCCGGCTGTGCTGCTGTTTACATTAAAACGTCTTCTGTGATCTTTGGCTACATTCAAGTTCTATGAATGGACAGTGAGCTGACCCTGATGCCATCATGTGTCTCAATAGGTCCACAGCACGAAGCATACGTTGGCTGCATTTGATCAAATTGATCAATATATGTTTACTCAATATATTTCAGTAATAAATTTGTATCAAATCTTTCAGGTTTGCGGTCTTTCCAATGTGTTTTCTGTAGTCTACTTATATAAACAGCTTTGGAAATTATTATTAGACCACTGTTTTATGATCTTCCTTTTCAATTAAAGATGGTGTTTTGTTGATTCCCAGCTCGTTGGTGATGGGTCTCTCACTGCATCATCTCATCCTCTCACAGTTATATTCCTTTTTGGCATTGCTGAGTGATAATATAGTCCAGATTATCTGTTGACTTTACATATAGAGCTCATGCACAAAAAATAGCGACTCAATCAAATTTTGTCGGACATATAGTGTGAATTTTAAAATGCTTATGGTTTCAATTTAAAAAAAAAAAAAACTATTGCATTTTCTTATGTATTGTAGAAAAAGCTGTACTTTTTAAATCACTGTACAGGTGGTCTAACAGTTATAAAAAATATACATATGTAAAGACTTGGAAGATGCAGATGTCAATGTTAAACTCGAGGTAATTTTATTTTATTATACCTATTATATTTTTGTTTTGTTTTTTTATCTACAAACATACGTTTCCCTTAAATTAACCCAAGCCACTATGCATATTAATTAAAATAATATAAAATGACTTGTAAATACAGCTGTGACTAGTATATTTGAGGCATTTATTTTCTCATTGAAGTTATTTTATTTATTATTGTGTCTTTGGTTATTCTAAGGTGAGAATAATATCTGTTTGTGGATACAGGCCAGTGATGCTTCCCTTTGCAATGTTTGATTGGATGTTATCTGTATTTTCTGTGCACAGTAAATGTATATAAATCCCATAAATGTAGGAAATGTAACCACAACAGTTAAATATACACGGCTGTAGTAGATCTTCAGTAGTAGAAATAGCAGCTCTAGTAACAGGAAACTGCACGCAGCTTTTGCAAGTCTACACAAGTGTTCACCCTTATGATGCAACATGCCATAGACACAACACTATGTGTAACCGCACGGTGGTACACGGAGGCGTTCTTTAACCCTGTCCGCTCGACACAGTAAACAAGGAAACACGTGACTACATTTTTTTCTCAGCTATGACGGGCCTGAAGATCAGTCCGCCCCTCTTGTGTGCCGTCACTGCTGCGTCAAGCTGAGAGAAATCACGACGCAAATCCGTAGTACCTCCAAAATAAAATAAGCCTGAGGACATAAAGTCCCCTTTTAACAAAATTATTTCTGCATGAAAAGTGCATTTGTGTGTAAAATCACCATGCATAGGTTTGCATTAAATTCTGTACATTTTAAAAGGCACCAAATTTTGGTTGGTTGGGTTAAGTGACAGTGATTATATGTTTATGTGTGCTATTGTCTATGTCACCAAAACTCTTAAGACGTGATCATTTTCACTTATCACAGCAGAAAACAGTGGAAAATAATCACATCAACAATGGCTTAATTTAATTTGATATCAAAGACAGTCGTGGCAGTAAAGCTGAATGCACAATAGCAGGACCACCCCTAAATGGAATGCAGCCCTTCTTAATACCTGACTCATTGAAATCAGGAAAAATCCGTATTATTTTTCTTTTGAAGCCGCAGTCACAGCCTTTTTGTGTGTGTGTGTTTAGAACTTGTGTTTTCATCCACCAAATAAATCCTCGGTTCGGCTTTGTGCTGTGCGGCGCGTCATTCGCTGCATTTTATTTTGAAAGCCACCACAGGAAGCTCGGCTGTTTTAGGCGTGTCGAGCTCGACGCTGGTCTCCCCATAAACCCCGTGATCTCCAAAACAACATAACAAAGTGGGAGAAACATGGCGAGCGGAGAGGAGGCCAGAAGACGCCCCTCAGTTACCTCCTCTTCGGTCGGCCTGGAGGCTCTCTTCCCTCCGGGGACCTCGGAGCAGGCCTGTGCGGAAGGAAACCCGGAGCTCGTCCGCCTGCGGGAGAGTCTCCAGGCTTGGCTATCGCAGTATGAACCCCTGCTGCTGTGGGTGCAGAGGCTGCTGGTGTGGGAGAGGCCGCTGTACAGCATCTCTGTCGCCCTGACACTCAACACATTATTCTGGTAACCGTCGAGTCTGCGTTTTTTTATCACGTCTGCCTTCGACACACCGATAAGGTTGCTCTGAAGTGCAGCGTTAGCTCGCTGGCTAATGTCAGCGAGGATATTACGAGTGAACGTCAGGATAAGTTAGCTAATCCCACGTCTTTAGCTTAATGCTAACGTAGCTTGCAAGCCAAGTTTAAACTTAATTTTCAGCTCGGCAAGTGTGGCTGTATGCGTATTGGGGGGTGTATTGTTAAGCAAAACAGACAACATAAGTTATTTTTGAGTTGTTAAACGTGTGGTCAGCGTAATTCAAGGAAACGCTTGACATGCTGAGTGGTCCAGGCCTCGTTAACCAGCTGTCAGTGACACATTGTGACTAGCCTCATGCTGAACTGGAGCAGCTAATGGAGTTGCTAGGTTGTAAGGCTAAGGTGGCTGTTACACATTTAATGTGTTTGCATGTTTATGTCAGCTGGTTGGTTATGTATCTGTGTGTCTCCACAGGCTCCTGTCCTCCACCTCCCTGCGGCCTCTGTTCCTGCTGAGTGTGTCCCTGCTGGGGCTCATGCTCCTGGAGAGATGGAAGCCCAAGCTGCCCATCATCACTGGTAGGTTCACTCCTGTATGTAATCTGGTCTTAAATCAACATGGTATTATTAGTGCTATCATTTATTAATGCAAATCTGACAATCTGCTCAAGTGGTCCCCCACAGAACCACTGTATAAATGGTTGTTATTTTTAATAAATGTGCAATCAAGCGCTGCATCATATTGATTTGTTTAAATGTAGCCATAAATATATTTTTAATTATGCTCCAAGGCCTACACACACACACACACACACACATACACAAACCTCGAAAATGCTATCTCTAACCTTTTCACACTTTGTTTCTCTATCATAATCTTGGAAAATAACTTTAGATTATTTTCTACTGAAACAATGATGAATCAAACTAATACAGAAATCTAATATCCAAATTGCAGGAGCTGTAAGTTTTTGTTAAAGTATATCATTACAAATCAAGGATTGTGGTACTACAGACGTACCCTGCCTTACAAATTGTGAGGTAACATGCTTGTTCTGCAGCAAAAAACACGTCATTATATTCATTGGAATAGAAATGCTAAATCTACCATTCCCTGAAATTGTTACTGATATCACAACAGCTGACAAAATAATGCCTTTTCCTATATATCGCTTAGCCCTATTCAGCTATATATATTTCATTCATGATCTGTTACTAATTGTGTGGGTTTTTTTTTTTCCCTTTCCTACAGTTCAACATGCTGAGGTTCATGCTGTACCAAGGTATGTATTATGTGCATGACAAATGGTTTACTTATGATGTCTTCATTTCCTGAAGCACTTCGGCATTAGAACATTTGTTGGAGTTTGAACAGTCAGAAGGCTGTTTGTGTCTATGTCACACCATCTTCTTCATGTGACACTGTCATTATAACCCTATAACTCCCTGACTGGTTTAGTCTGTTGGATTTGTCTTCATCTCAATGTGTCTGTCTCCTTCCCTTGTTATTACATAAACATGGAATCCTACAGTACCACTCTGAAGACATTTAAGTACAGATTTGTGTTCTTAACGGATGTTTTTGGATTTTGTCGGTGTCTTCCTGTGTTTGTGTGTGTTGGGAAAACAGTGAAACAATGAGCGCAGAGCAGCGTCTGCTCAGTATTCCTGAGCTCAGCTACCACCTGGCTGAGAGCTACCTGACCTGCTGCCTGTATCTTCAGGAGATGCTGCAGTACAAGCGACAGAACCACGGCAAGGTACGGCACTTGTCACCGGTAGTAACACATGGAATTTAGAGGAATTGTGAATATTATGGTTATAAAAAAAAATTGTCTTGCGAAGCGGAATCTTATGCGACCCCCAAAGCGGTTTTGGGCACCTCGTGAAGGAAAATCATCAGTGTCAAAATGCTAAAACATGACATTTAAACAATATATATGTTTATTTAATCAGCTTTGTTAATAAGGGCTTCGTTTACTCAAGCATATTAGGCATATTTGCTAATTAAATGGTCAGAAATAACAGTTAGATGCATAGTTTTTTTTGTAAAGTAAGGTAACACGAACTTACTGCCTTTACTGTACATAGACTGATCATTCTTACTGTCATGCATAGATCTATTTTGAACCTGGAACAACCCTGAAATGGTGGCAGATATTTCAAGGACACTAAACATTTTTGGTACACCCATGCTATTTTGTGATGACTTTTTAAATTAGTCTTGTGCAGGTCATTAATGGCAGACAGCCAAATACTGCATGCAAGAGTCAACACTGCTCACAGTGCGACTGAGAAATACTAAAATATATATATCTGGGATTTCTGAAAGGCAAACTCAGCAGGTAACGCAGCTGTGAGAACACATTTAGACACAACACACCTGCAAACCTTGAAGGTGTGTCAGAGTCTAATATCGCTTTCCTTTTCTGTTTCCCAGTTCTGTGTGATGATGTGCAGCGGCTGTTTCGTTCTTGCTGTGGTGGGACATTATGTACCAGGAATCATGATCTCCTACATTATAGGTGAGTCACTTCATGACACTGTTGGAGTAGAGTTGTCATGATAGTCACATGGTGTGAGAGGACAGGCAAGGATAGCAGTTAGTGAGGTAATTGCATTGTCTTGTGTGTAAGTCATGCTTGTATTTAATATTTATATATCGCTCCTTGCCTGATTTAACAGTCCCATTCCTAGGTTCTCATTTGGAAATCACCCTTTTTCTCTGTGTGTTTGCAGCATCCTTCCTTGATGAATGTGTTGATTGTAAACAGGTTATAAAGTTGTCACTGCTTGTTCTGTCTTCAGTTCTGAGTGTGCTGCTGTGGCCACTGGTGGTGTACCACGAGCTGATCCAGAGGATGTACACCGGCTTGGAACCAATCCTGATGAAACTGGACTACAGCATGAAGGGAGATACCGAGCACCGCAAACACGACAAGAGGAGTGAGTGTTACTGAGACACCTTCAGGGTGTAGACCTGGAAGTCCTGCAGCCATAGCATGCCTGTTTTTGACATTAACACAGGATTTATTATGCAATTAGTCATTGATTTTTTAATCGATCGAGATCCTCTTTCTTTTCCTCTTACTGATACCCAGTCATTGACAGCTTTGTTTACATAATTGTGTAATAGGAGCTGCATTAAATATGAAAGAGGTATGATGAGAAGCTTCTTCGGCTACATTTGTACCTATATCTGATCCACCATTACCGTTCTATCTTTGAATCAGTTCTTTTCGGCGTTTGTTGTCTATTTCTCATTTCATTGTGTGCTAAAGATGTGTGTGTGTGTGTTCTGACAGAGGTAAAGAAAGAGATGGAAGAGGGGGATGAGCCAAGAGCTGAAACAGAAAGTGAGAGCGAGGAAGAGCTGTCCTGTTTTGCTCCAACGGTATGGACACACACACCTGACAACCAAACACATAACACACAGAACAGCAGACTTCGGTGAGGGTGTGTAAGGTTTAAAACAATAAGACCACCACAGGAAATTGCAGCAGTGGCCTAGAGAGCCGGATATGTTGCGTGCTGACTGAGGTCTGAAATGAACTTCGTGGATGTACTAACGGGAATGGAGCTCTGTGGTTTGTCAAATGTTTGGCAAGGTTTGTCTTTCAAGTACTGCCACATTTCATTTGGGCAACTGTAAAATTTGCATAGATAGCACTGACAGAGCTGATGTCATGTCGGTTACTGATTCATTGTCTTTCTACGGAAATAATAAGGACCTGCAGAACATAATGCAAATTTAAGAATATAAACATAAACCACAATGGTGTCCTGCTATAATCCTCCTTCCCTGAAGGCCACAGTTTCCGGCAGTGTTGTTGCTTGTGTTTATGCACAGAATGACAACCTTTTGATGCTAAGTCTGCTTAATCTTCATCCTTTTACTGGGTTTTCCTCTTTCAGTTGTGACAAAAATGAGAAAGTTGCTAATTAATTTGCGTTCATGCATTTTAAAGTTTTATGTATTTTTTTCTGTCTTGCTGTCGTCGTTTTTGGCCAGGTGGATGTAAAAACTACTGCTCTGGCAATGGCCATCACAGACTCGGAGTTGTCAGATGAAGAAGCTTCCATCTTGGAGAGTGGAGGGTTCTCAGTGTCCAGAGCCACCACTCCTCAACTGACTGATGTCTCTGAAGGTAAATCTCACTTCTTCACACTTCAACTGAGGAGGTGCACTGAAGAAGTTCCAAGACTTTGCCTATTATTGACAAAAACTGCACCTGATTTAAATAACATTTGGAACACTTTTTGGAAATCCTGTTCTCAACATTTGTTGGTGCGCATTTCTGATTTTACCACGAACCTCAAACTTGTGCAGAGAGCAAAGATCAAATTCTGTGTCAAACTGAGCCAACCTCCAAGTTGAGGATGTCAAGTCTTCAGTGGAGAAGCCAGCAATCTCTCAACTTAACAGTGGCGTATCAGGTCACAACCAAGGGCATGCGAATCGTTTTGCACCATAAATTTGTCCCCTAGGGTCAGGCTGTCAGCACCAACTTCTACTGTGACATCCTAAAGGATCTAAGGGAGAGTATTTGGCACAAACAACCTGAACTCCAACATGTGGCAATGCATGCTTGCTTACAGAGTGTTGAAAATCCACACATTTTTTTGGGCCACACCTTTGCAATCATTCTTCCTCACACACTCTACTCACCAGAATTGTCTCCCTGCAACTTCTTTTTGTTCTCCAAAATGAAGTTTAAGCTAAGGTATGCTGATTTGACACTGTGGAGATCCCTCAAATGTCAGAGATTACACACAGACAGAACAGGACTTTAAGGAGTGTTCTAAGTGTGGCAGGAGCACTGGGAGTTGTGTATTGCTACACAAGGTGAACACCTTGCAATGGATTAACTTAGGTATGTTTTTGTTTTTAATAGGCACTGACACTGAACTTCTTAATCTCATCACTTTTGCAAACATAGAAGTTGTTCTCTTGTTTGGGAAGAAAATCAAAGGTTTGGGTCAGTTCAGCTCTGGAAAAAGTAGGAATGCTGTTCTGCCAGCAGAAAACTGTCGTTTAGCTCTGCTCTGAGAAAGTATGCAATGTTTTTTTTTTTCTTTGCTATGCTTCACTGGTTCTGTGCGTCAGTAGTTTTCTGGGGAATTAGGAGATTTTCTGCTCAAGCGTGCACTCACGTCAACAGAGCAACCTATACATGTATTTATATCTATTCTACAGACGTATTGATCTCACCTACTCTTACTGTAGTCTGGCATCACCTCCTGGTACATTCAGTTATTCATTTTAATAGTTTTTGTCTTCTATTTAAAGCCAAAAACATTCTGAAGATTTTGCTGTGTAAAGTGTTACATGCAGTTTGTCTGGTTTAGATCCATGAGTCAGATGAGGTCTTTTTTTTTTTTTTTTTTTGCTGTCTCATTTCGACTACAGACTTGGACCAGCAGAGTTTACACAGCGACCCAGAGGAGTCCTACCTGCGAGATCTTCCCGAGTTCCCCTCAGTTGAGGAGTTTCCGTCCATTGAGCACAATCTGCTTCACTTTCCTCTGCGAGGTCCAGGCCAGGGAGACAGAACCCAGGCTGGTGCTCCAGCAGAGGGAGAACCGCTGAGCCCTGCCAGCCTCCTTATCCAACACCTAGCATCTCCTCTCCACTTTGTGAACACACATTTCAATGGACATGGACGACCCCCTGGGGGTGAGGAGGGCATGTTGCCTGTTCCAGGCACAGGGGAGGGAACAGCACAGAGGCAGGAGGGAGAGGAGAAGGAAGCGGCGGTAACCCAGGGAACACAGCGGTCATTGGAGGCCTTGAGCGAGGAGATAGTGAGCACGGCCATCTCCACTGTTGTGCAGAACACTCTGTCAGCCCTGCTGCGCTCCAGTGAGGCCAGTGACGAGCCCTCCCTGGATGAGTTCCTTCCAACCGATACCCCACCGAGCGCTTTGGAGACCTCCACTCCACCCATCGACACCACTGCTAACACTACAGTTACTACAACGGGGGCGGCGGGTCCTGACGAGGACCTGGACGAAGCGATTACGACGGAAAGCGGTGCTGCCGAGGAGTTCCCAGATGACACACTAGTTCCGACCGAGGAAGAGGACTTTGAGCTTTTGGACCAAAGTGAACTGGAGCAGGTGGATGAGGCGCTGGAGCTCAGCTCTGACAGACAGGTGGTGGGAGGAGGCCCAGACACGCCTCCATCTCCTCAGCATCAACCACAGTCATAGCTTTCCTGTTGACCCCCCCCTCCCCCCTCCTTGCCTCCACCTTCAACTGTTTTTGTTTTTATTTGTACGTTAGAACGACATTATAAACATACATACGGCTATTTACAATGCATTTATCAAAGAGTTTATTACTGTTGGTTGGTGATTGTGTGGCAGATGGTTGAGACACTGGGTCGGTTCTGCTTTCATAGCTTCGCTTTACAAGGGTCTGCTCAGCCTTGGTACCTGAGTTCTAGTTCAGGATTATCACATTTATTGGGATCATCAGCTACTACCAGGGGGTATTCACGACACAGCTTTACTGTACCCTTAAATACATCGATATTACATTCACAGTCTGGGTTTTTGTGTTGACTCATTTTTGGCTCGATAGTATCAGAGAGTAAGAGTCAAAAGCAGAATTTGGAATTACAGTTCTAGAGACATCATAACTGTTGAAATGTGGGCTCTGACAAACCTGTTTAGTCTCTTGGCACACTGAGGATGCCTTTATTTAGTATCTTGGCTCATGGCTTAACCCTTCCACCTTCAGAAGCAGACGTTTATGTAGATGGTGTTGTGAAGAGCTGAAATGTTGGATTATATGACTAATATTATATGCTATAAATTATTTAATTTAATGATCAGTTGATTATTATTATTATGATTAAGCAGAGGGGAGTCTGAAAGTACGTTTTATCCCTTCCATAATGATTGTATGTAAGTGTTTTAACGATGGACGTCCAAGTTCAAATTGTAGTTACATTTTCCCGGAGTTAGTGAAACGATATTAATCCCTGTCTTTACCTCTGAGGTTACAGGTTTAAAAATAAGCATTCAGTCATTGGTGGTTTTTCACTTGTTGCCTGCAAATGGAATCTTTGACATTATTGGATGTTGACAACTCGCTGGTCTTTACCCATACACATAAGTGACTTTCATGTGGCAAGATAAAAGAAATGTTCCTGAATTTCCTCTCTGTGATGGATGCCTCATTTTTACCACCGTTTGTGAATAGGTCATACATCCTCGGTCCATACTTAATTGAATTTAGTATTGATCTGGCAGATTTAAAACCATCATCACTGGGAAATGTATATTTACCAAATAACCTCCTGTGTGCCACGACAAGTTCATGCATGCAGTGCATCACGCATGTATTTACCATGATCAATATTCGAGTACAGTTTTCAAAAGAGCGTTACTTTTACTGGAGCAGATTTTTTTTTTTGTCTTGGTTTTTGAAGGGGCATAAAACTTTAATTACACATCTTTGTCTGGCCAATGCTGGGAATTTGTGTTAAAAGAAAATTGGCAAATATTTACAGTTGAATGAAGATTTTTTTTTTTTGCTTTTGTAAACCACTCAGCATCCAAATCTCAGGGGTGGGTTGTACAAAGTGAATATAACACTGCAGAATACGTGTCCATTTCCCCACTTGTCGTAGTGCACTGTATTTGTACTAACCTTTCCTTTTTTCAGTCTCCTTGTGTATAGTGTAGAAATGCAAAAAAAAAAAAAAAAGGAAAGTGTATATTCTGCATGTAAAAACAGCACTCTCTCTTCAAGTTCTCCTTGTCGACTGACAAAGTACTGCACAATTTGTGAGGAAAAAAAACATCTGAATGTTTCAGGTTAAAATAGCCTGTTAAATTCAATTTATTTCATTACAAATGAGGGGAATTAAAGTTTTGACGTGTCCTTACTTTTATTTTTAAAAGACTACCCAACTGTAAATGGAAACGGGTGGCAAGTGATAACATCAGATTTAGAGATTAACAGACTAGTTTGTGTATGGTAGTTGTGTGTTTTATGCTTCAAATACTTGCTTCTTGACCTATATATATAAAAAAAAGACACTTATCGAACTGTACAATTTTAAAAAAAGGAATATATTTTCTAATTTCTCCTTTTTCCATAAAGTACTCAGTTTGATCTTTTACGTCTAAAAAAAAAAATTGTAACTGCTATGGACAAGTTTCAGAAAGCGGAAAGGTTTGCTGTCATTAAACTGGTAAAATAAAACTGCAATTTCACATGTGAAAGTAAGAGAATAAAAGAACAAACTGAAACAAACTTAAGATGTTGCAATGAGATTTATCTGGTCACTCCATCATTCTAACTAACCAATGTGTGTGTGTGGTGCTTTTCTTTTTTCTTAAATCATTTTTTTTTATGTCTATAAAACGGTGTTATTATTGTCAGCCGCACAGTTTTCTGATCCAACTTCTTTTTCCTGGCAAAGAAAAAACACTCAGTTAGTACATTTTCTTCAAAGAGCCCGGACATTGCTCATGTACAGGTTTCTGATTGTATTTTTGGAGTTAACTAGAACATATTTAGGTGTTTTCATGTCCAAAAACATATTTTTTTCATACTGTAAATTGCTGCAGCACCTCTTATCAATCTCTGTCTGAAACTCTCGCAAAAACAGTGACAAAAAATTATTTTACTTTAGTTGTTGACTATTGCCAAACAAGCTGATAGGCAGGTGTTATGTGCAACTGTGTTACATGGTGACATAGACATGTAACAATAGACTAAAAGTGTTTCAGAGCAAAAGAGAGAATAACTCCCTTCGGTTTGGACTTTAGACATTTGCAAACCCCAAAAGCACAACAGGCTTTCTTCAAATAAATGAGCTGTGTTTAAGTGTAGCAGTGGAGCTGTGAAAATGTGCCCATTATTTTGTTTAACTTCACACACCTGCCTCAGTTCGCTTGCAGAAAGCTGAAGTCTCTCCTTCAGCTCGTCTCCAACAGTCACATCAGACACTACAGACCATTTGCCGTCTGTAAACTTAACTGGAACTGACTGGACAATGTCATCTGGGAGATTGTTGTGACCTGCAAGGAACCGTAGAGGAAAAACTCAATACAAACTAGAACAGCCAAAATATTGATTTTTTTAAACGTTTCATAGTGCTTAGACTTCATTACTACAGTGCCACTGTGTCACATGTTGTTGTTTGTTGTGTCCAACCTGGGCAAAGTACACCCACAGACAGGACCTCATCTGGATCGCAAATGCCATTCCATGCCCTCAGGACGGTGAGGATCCCATTGGCGGCTGATGTGTCAGCTGCTCGGCCGGTCTTTGAAGCCACAGCTCCACGTTGACATTGTACCAAACGTTGAAAGTCTGTCTCCAGCCATTTCCTGAAAAGGAAAAGGAGATTATTTCTTTTTGGCATATCCCAGCACAGGATGTTTTTTGATCAATGCAGGCAGATTGCAAGGGCAGATGTATTGTGCAATCAACATTTGCACAGACTGAGTTTGGTTGGAAGGTTTGTAATTTGATGGCAGGCCAGCGACAAACTTTTTGGTATGTTTTTATAAACTTGGTGGAGTTAACCCAAAAAATCAATGCATCTCATGTGTCCTGCACAGTAAGAACAAACCAGGAGACTGAAGCACTGTTACATAAAAAAACAAAACAGAAATCTTGCTTTTGTGACAGACCTGTCATGAAATATCTTTAGGACTGGTTGAGGAACGAAAGCTGGTCCTTTAATTGCCCCATTGTAGTTGCAAACCTTCGCCCTTTGCAAGTCAACGTAGAAAACACCACTGATGTTTCCCCACACGATAACATCTGTAATATCTGAGAAGACAGAGATGTGAGTCATCTTACATTTAAGCTGCTACAATGCATCTGACGCCAAAGATTTTTGCAGTAGATACCTGAGGTTCTCACTTTCATCTTCTTTGCAATTATCGCCCTGGCTTCATTCTCCAGCTGTGTTGCCGTGGCGACGAACTGTTGGCTCTCAACAGAGTGCGCGCTGTCCACAAGAAGTGAGCATCTCAGGTTGACGAATGAGTCACCAGATACGATCACCTTCACCTCCTTGTTGGCTCTTGTGTCGATCAGCTGTCCGTACTTTCTGTATCGCTCCTTTACTGTCTTCTTCTTTTCCTCGTCACTGCCGTTCTCTTTATCATCAGACCAGCATTCATCCAGCAGGAGGATGACATCTGCTTTTTGGAAGGCCTGATCCAGATCCATGTGGACGGTCACCTGGGGGGAAAAAAAATTGTTAGATAATGACTTTATTTTATTTCCGATGTGATTAAACAGTCGTGAAAGCTTTTTACCTCATGGAGCATACTGAGTGCGAGGTCCTCAACCTCCATCCTCAGCCCCTGCAATTCTTCTTTATTCCCCTGCAGCTCCAGTAGATGGAGGCTGATCGCAGAAACTTGGGGGAAAACCTCAGCAGAAAGCAGATTGGGGATCAAGATGTGGCAGGTTGGGCTGAGAGCGCTGAAAAAAAACACACTTAAAATATTAAAACAGTCACACAGGGGGAGGATGATATCTTTGTTTTTCAAAGAAACACACCCAGTGATCCATATGTGAAGGGGTTGAACAAGACTGGCATGACACTCCTCTTCCATAATAAGGTCCATCTTGGCCTTCAGGTTTTCTGCCGCAATACTCAGCATCATATCTGTGGGCATGTCTGACGTGATGCCGTAGTAGTCCTACAAAAACACTGGTTAATTAGAATCTTTTATTGCTAAGTACATTTTCACATAGAGGGAACTGGACTTAGTGTTTTGCTACATAACAGTAAACACTAAAAAAATTAGAAACATTTAAAGAAGAATAAAAGACTTATAATAATTGTCAATATAAGCAAAACAAGTATAGCACATCAAAGCTACTATAAAAGTAATGCAAATGTCATTTAGGTGAGCAATGTGCAAATATTTGTGTGGCGGTGTGCAAAATGTTGCATTTTAGATTGATTTTCACAAAGAAAGTCTATCTATATCTACCTGGCAGTGCTCTAGGAAGTCACTGAAGCCTCCTAAGAGCATCCCTTTGCCTCCCTGGTACACCAGTTCCCTCCAAACCAAAGGAGAATGCTCATGTTTCCAGCCATTTCTTTGGCAGGTGCCTTCCAGCCATTCCTATCACAGACCCAGTAGAGGTCAGGTAACAATAACTCCCAAAATATGCTACTGTTTTGCATAATAAAGAGACGAATTACATTCCACTCATCTGGGAGGATGGAGATCTTCTGGACCCTGAAGTTCGGCAGACATCCCTGCAGAGCGTCTGCTAAAAGTTCCGCTTTAGCATAATGAGGGCAGTCTGCTTTCCCTGTAGAGATCAACATTGTAGAAATGAGTACTATTTTTTTTTTTGTTTTTTTAATGTATCCAAATATTAGAGGGTAAACATGAAAATATGCCATTACCAGCGAGCACAAATTTGGCCATTCTGTGTAGAAGCGTTGGTTGCTTGGAAACAGGGGACGTTACGCTTATTTGGGTCCGCCAGGAAACAAAGTAATATCAGGAGGTATTAATATTAAGCCTGTGAGACCTGTGACTTGAAGAGGCACAGTTTGAGATTCTATTATATTATTAAATATCATACTTCGAACATAATATTACAAGAGGCATTATCAGTAGTATTTTGGCGGAACGTGTTGCACATGTTGCCAGGGGGACAAAATATGGCAACGGACACGACAGGACCCAACGTGACAGAAAGCTAAACTGGACTGTTTAACATTTTCATGTGATGTAGCTGTATATGTCATTGCAGAGCGAAGTTTTCTGTGCGTTTTTGTGTTGTCTGGCAAGTACAAAGCGTTACTTAAGGATATTTAAGTCAAGTATGTTTCTGTGGTCACAGTGAAAAGCTATGTAGCATCACTTTGCTAACGGAAGGTAGCTCGTCTCCTCATAACTTATAGGAGGCAGTTTGTTGACCTTGATAACAACATACTCCGATTACTCTGTAAATCGACATTTGTGCTGACTACTTACATGATTTATGAGCAAGTCTAGCTAAGAATGCAAAGCAGAAACATTTGGATAAATATTAAATTAATGCTAACTGCAGTTGCAATAGTAATATTAACCATTTCTTAGACTCCGTCTCCAACGTTTTATATATTTATGTTGGTGTCAGTAAATCGCTATTTATTCCACACAGGGGCAATGCTAGAATAAATTAGGACAGCCAGCTGTCCTTTTTGTCTTTCCTCTCATTTTGGTGTCATAAATTATCTAAGAACTATGTCTGTGTGGGTGACAGAGGACGTCATGAGATTGTGCCTGCGCTTTTGCAGTCGCAGGTCTCTATGGCAACAGCGCAATTTCCCGATGACAACATCAATCAAGGACACATGTTTTCCTAGTCAACAGTTAGCACATATTTGGGACCCAAGGAAGAGCCAGACATCACTTTCGAAGAGTGTCATCAGTTCAGTGAGGTTCTACTCACAGGACAGAAGTCCCAGTGATGAAGTGGAAGAGACAAAGTCTTCGCTGCCTTCTGAGGTCCAGTTTGATGAAACACCATCAGAGCTGAGACAGACGGTGTCCCCTTTCTATGACCACCTGCAACGCTGTGCCTCCCCATCAGCTGTGTTAGACCTCACCTGTCTGTACTCACCCTCGACTCAGCAGATCAGCAACTGCTTCACCCACATGTGGTCCACGACTAAGAAGATGTCAGAGGAGCAGCGGCACTATGAGCTGCAGCTGATGTTTGACCATCCTGACTTCGACACCCTGCTCCAAAAGGCCATGAACACTGTGGGGCACATCCCCAATGACAACTTGACTTATTGCCTCCTGAGCATGGTCAAACTGGGTGTGTCTCATCGTAGTCGTGTGGTAGAGACTTACCTTCGAACCTGCCAGGTAGGCACTGGCAAGCAAAGACATTTACATATCAGATGCATTTTTGCTTTGTTGTCTATTCATATACGTTTTACTGTCCACTAACAGGAGAAACTGAATTCCTTTGATGAGAAGAGTTTGTCTGTCTTGGCCTCCTGTCTGGAACATATGAAGAGCAGCTCCAATGTAGATGCACTTAAGGAAGGCGTGAGGTAGGACTTAACAGAAGATGGAGACAAAAAATATAAAACATTGCACATTTGGAATGAGCTGAGATATAATAAGAAAAAACCCTCCATCCTGGAGGATGCCATGATTACCATGAGTAATGCAATGATGTTTGCTGTTGCTGTATCTTAGGCTGATAGTTGAGACCCGTCTTCCCGGGATCGAGACTGTCATGGCTCTTCAAACTATGATGCGTTTGCTGGGAAAAGATGCCCCAAAGGACCTCAAACGGAAACTAGAGGTTAGTTTCTAAGACTTGGTTTTGACCATATTTGGCAGTCATATTCCTGCATAAGTATTCAAGCATTAATAGCATTTTGCCCACTTTGTGCTCACAGTCTGTACAGTGCAAGTTTGAATGGTTTTTGATGGTCACTGACGATATTTACGAGGAACTGTAAATTTGGCACATACTATTGATCTAAACATGCTAACTAGCTACATAGTCTTCTCTTCCTGAATCTTCACCTTTAACAGCTAGAAGTTCAGAAATACTTTGCATTACTAAAAAATACCTTATTTTTTGGTATCTATAGCCGATTCCGTTCCATGTTGTCATTTGTTCTGTCCACTGTTTATTCCAGAAAAAGGCCTTATCAATGACAGATCAGTTCAGTCCTCCCAACGACCAACACATGATCATCACTATGGCCACAATGGGCTTCTACTCCAAACCACTGCTGGATATCTGCAGTGAAAAAATCACAGGTAAATGTGCTTAAATTCTTCTCCACATTAAAGACAATACATGGATGCAGTATGGTATAACAACGGAATCACAAAAGTAGAAAACATCTTTGCGTGTTTTACAGTAATCAGCACCAAGAATCTGAAGAATCCTAAAATGTTATCTAACACCTTTTAACGTGTGTCTTTTCTGGTAGACAACCTCCATGGAATTTCCTTCAGCAGATTATATAAACTGCTGCAGTCTTATAAGGAGTTGCGCTACAGAGACGTAATTCTTCTCACCAGCATTGTAGAATATGTCACTTCTACACTGGATAAATGGACCAACAAACAGGTGCTGTGACAGACAACTGTCTTTCTGCCCTTTTTTTGTGAAATGTTAAATACAAGGCATATTCCTCATATTCGGATAAAGTCATGTTAGAATACAACTCAACATCCGACATCAACGTGTGCCTTGACTTCTGGACTGTTTTCTATTTTTAGGTGCTGCTCATTCTGTCTGTGTTTGAGGACCTCGCCTTCTGTCCTGATGCTTTAATGGAGGCGTATGCTGAGAAAGTGATTGCCAACCCTGACATCCTGACACTCAAAGACCTCCTATGTATCCTCAAGGTGTACTCCTCTCTGGCCTATGACCTGAAGCACCAAAGACAACAGTACGTCACCAACATGTCTCCAGCATTCATGTGTTTACTTTTTTTAATTTTGAGAATTAGCAAAATGTATTTTTTTAACCAGTTGTTTTGATTGGCGTTTTACATCTACTCAAGCTTAATAGACTTTTTTTTCCCTCAAATGGTCATAAAAACAGGAGGAAGCATAGGTTTGTGTCAATCATGAAATATGACAAACTCCTCCCTTTACTGTTTGCAAGCTGATCAGGCTCACTGTTGTGCATAGTTACCCTTAGAGGTGCATTCTGAACCAGGAAAAAATCCTAGATTGTGAGTTTAAAATGGAAGTAAATACAAAAGACTAAAGAACATACAATATTACAACTTGGCCCCAATATTTGGTCTGATTTGAACTCCCAACTGTTGTTGTGTTTTAGAGACACAAAGTGGAGGTCCAGGAAGAATAACAACATGCGTATTTGTTCTGTATCTGTCCACAAGGAGGCAGTCAGTGTGGTTCAGTAGTAAACAAAAACACTGGCATCTGTCAAATCTCAAGGCCAATTGCAGCAGAAGTCAGGCACAGCTGTCAGATTACTGGTTTTGGAAGCTGAGAAGAAGCACATCCTCCTATGTCAGCATATAAAAATAACGTTTCTCTGCTTTCAAACTGTTAGAGCAGCATTTTTTAGAGAGTATATGTTGGCCTTCACTGTTTTTACACAGTGTAAAACTCTCAAATGGACATTTAACAAGTTACTTAACAAACAAATTGCTGTTTTGTAAGATCTTATCACTTTGTTGGTTTTCTTCCTGCTCCAGGTTCCTGGATAGTCTCAGTCAGGCCCTGAGCTCCTATCTGCCCAAGATGTCTGGATTAATGTTGTTAAAGGCTGTTTACTATCTCTGTCTGCTGGGCCACTTCCCGTCTGCACTGCTGGAGCAGCTCCTGCAGAGCAGCACACTGGAGCAGCTGGAGGGTAAGACGACGAACAGTCTGGAAAGTGTAATCTGTCTTTACAACTTTCTAGTTCTCTTCTGTTTTCCTTGTGCTTGGGTTTTTGAGTTTCATCCTTCTAACCGTCCTCTTTTTCTGCTTAGGATCGAAGTTTCTCAAGAGCCGGGAGAGAATGTTTCAGACAGTGGACTTGTGTCTCCGTCTCGACCGTCCTCCTCTCCCCCAGCCCCTGACTGTCCCCACATCTGTAATGGGAGATCCCACCCCCAGCAGTCTGTCAGTCAACCAGCAACTCTCGCAGGGCCTGCAGAGTGTGTTGAGCAATGAGGCGCATACAGTGCTGCAGGAAATGGTGCTGGTGGAGAACATCTACCTCATAGGTAAAGAGAGGCTCTTTGAGGAAGGAAGGCATTAGAGATTCAGTGCGTGATTTGTGGCATAGAGGATGCATGTGTGCCTCATGTTTTTACCCATCTTGCTCCAGGAGTGCTTTTAAAAACGTGATTTTGATTCATCTTATAAGAAAAAAAGCACAAGCGAAGATGGATATAATTTTTCAGTTCCTATTTGGATTGAAGAAGTCAGTTGAAAGTTGTCCGCATTTTTCTCATTAGTGTTTGTATGCTTCAGAAAATGCCATTGTAAAGCTAGCAAGCCTGCGTTTGTGTGCTCTCAGATGGCATTGTAACCAAACCTCTGCCAAATCAAACCTCTGGGACTGAAGCAAGCAGCTGTGCAGGCGTCGAGGGTTCTCCAGCAGAGAGCAGTCAAAGGTAAGATATCGGCATTCGCTAGTAGTCAATAACATCAGCGTACTCAATCTTGAGCAAACCTGCTGCGGTATTTTATTATAACATTTTGTTTTTGATTTAAAGTGCTTATGTCATGTTTGGTGATGCTGTCAGAGCAGGTGGAGAGGATGTTTGGGCTTTCTGTTCCGACAGGTGCTGTTATCGCCAACATCAAATATCTGATTTCACAACTTGGCATGCAGCAAAGCTCATACAGTTTACATTTTAAATTAAGACAGTTATATAGCGAACTAATTAGGGCACAAAATATGATTGTTAAAAGCAAAAAATGAAGCAGGACTGTTACTTGTGTTTAACACCACCGTGTACTACAGCAACACTTTACATCTTTTAACGTTTTCTTGAGATGCGACAGTTAAATACAACTTTCTGTCAGTGTTTGTGCTGTAGCTTTCACATAAGTTTAAGAAGTTCATGAAGCTGTATTTGTGTGCTTGAGTAGTGTACATCTAGTTATTATTAGCCTTTGGAAGCAGATATATGTGGAGTTAAATTAAAACTCCATCTCCTTCAGTATCACAGCATCACCAACTCAGAGGCAAATCTTGAAATGTGCTTCCAGGCGCTATCTGGCACTGAACTAAAGAAAGCAGGCGTGTTGCCTTTCATTCTTTGACTTCATCAAACAGCTCCACCATCACTCAGCAGCAGGATCCATACTGTCCCCAAACAGAGAGTGAGCCATTTATACAGGTGGCACAGCAGCAGTAGCTTCATCAATTATTTACATCCTCTGATGTGTCATTGTGACCACACGAAGCCTTCTTAACCGTAAAAGCTTTTCTACAAGAAAACAGCTGAGCTGTTGTGCACAGACTCATATTTTCCTCAATAACATCATAAGTAGCAAATCAGTCATGGTTAATATGAATCCAGCTTTTATGTCTTCAGCAAATATACTTTCTTCCGGAGACTTACTCTGTTTTGTTTTGTTTTTCTATTGTATTGAGTGGATTATGAAGAGAGATTTCTGTTTTGCTGCTTAAATGGGCTAATATATGAAGTGTTATTACTGCAAGCATTAACTGATCTAGTCATTGAAGTGAATAAAAAGTGAGGCAGTAGTTAGTTTTTTTTTTTTTATTGAACCTATAAGTTACAAAGATGTTTCTATTCATGACAGAAATTTCAATTTACATGCAAATGGCATCTGTTCAAATTGAGCTGTTCTTTTGAACTTTACAGTGTTTCATGGAGGTGAACTATTTTTCAATTTAAGTTCATTACCATGTTGCAACATCCAAATTACTAAAAGATACAGAAAGTACAAAAATGCATTAAATAGTAAAGAGAATCTCAGTGGTGTCTGGCAAATAGTTAGATTTACTTTATGATTGTGACTTTGAAATTTCACCATTGCTGAGAAGTTGAATAAAGTTGAATTTCTTTTGGGAATTACAAACATCTTATTTAGAAAATTAAACTACAAGATCTCATTCTAGACAGAGAGCCATTGTTATTACATTACTATTTCCCAAGAAATACTTTCTCCCAAAAAAACAGTTCCTACTTCTACTTTCTGCAGTTTTATCTGTGAGCCCTGAACTCAGAGACCATAGACTCCCCCTCCTCAAGAATCACATTTTAACCCCTAAATATAATGGTATTATATATTAGTATATTATTAGTATTCATGGTTTCATTTTACTTGCACATCTGTACATTT